TGAGGGAAATTGTTCTTGCTATGTGAACAGCATATAAAACCCCAGTTGGAAAAGTGCCTCCCATTTGTCTCCAGATTGAGCCCGGAATTAATCTTCCCTGATCTGAACTAAGAGTCCGATATGAGATGCTTAGACAGCTTCCTCAAAGAAATCATCAGCACCATTTTTCCATAGTTCTCTCTGTGGTCTACAGAAAGGACCTAAATTACTTGTCCAGACTATGCTTCCAGAACTGAACTTCTAACAGTTCACAATTTCCCCCTAGCTAAAGCACCTGATAATTTCTTCTACTGATAGGATAAACTTTTAAAATAATTGATTTTGTGTTTGTTGTTAATTTGTTGCTGCTCTGAAAAAAAAAAAAAAAAAAAAAAAAAGGTTTTTCTTAGTTTCATACTGTAAGATTTATATATATTTATTTGTCTATACATTTAACTCTAGCAAGATCCTGGACAACTTGGGTTACCTCTGTCTCTTCTTTACTTCAGCACAAGCAAAGTGACTTACAGAAGTCAGAAGTGGCATCAAATAAGACTTCCCTGGATCATTTGGGCCTATAATTATTCTTTTGATGCAAGTGAAAACACACATGTCTATTCCTGGATCCTTTCAGATACACCATCTTGATTTATCATAATCTTTGTCTCACCTGAGGAGCATACATAATAGACATAAATTGTTAGGTTTATCCTTCAAGAACTATTCAAAAAAGGAGATTTTTACAATATGGGGTATTAAATATAAATAAATCAGACTAAATAGATCACTCAGAAGACATATGTGTTATTAGGTCACATTCTAAATGTTGTGAGGAATAGATAAAAGCTGGTTAAAACCCAGAGGTAATCCAGAAAGCTTTAAGAAGAGGGTATGAGGAGTGATTTGTAACACAGGTGATCACAACTCTGATAGGTGAGGCACTGCATTATACACACCTCAGTCTTAACATCATTTAGGCTTTTTGATCATTTTTAAATTATTTCCAAAGCAAATTAGCAGCATCACCTGACTTTTTGGTTTGTTTTTTGGGTTGTTTTTTTTTTTTTTTTGCCCCACTGGTTTCCCATAGGTTTCTTTGGGTTCTAGGCACACTTGAATTATTAAAAGTCAGAAATTAGCTGTTGAAAATTAAAGAGAAAAATCTTTGATTTTTCAGCATTTGATCTGTAGGTCTAGTAGGTTACTTTTATTTCTCTGATTCAGTGATTATTTGGCTGAAAACTGATTAATTCATAAACTCTTAGTCAGCAGCTCTGCTTGTAAAAGTACCAAAACATGGAAGTATAAGCTGATATCCCATGCTTTCTCTCAGGCTTTTTGGAGGATATGCTGGTCCTTCCCCTTGCTGTAAGAACAGTAAGTATTGCTTTCTGTTCTAGGTGATCCTAATTACATCTATTTAACAAGGTATTTTTGCTACTTAGTTTCTCAGCAAAAACCTTATCAATATAATAATTAGCAGGACCAGACCCTGGAATGTAACTCTCTTCTGTTAGATAACTAGCAATTAGACAAATATACTCCCAAGAGGAAGAAATTTGTCACAGCTGGAAAAAGAAACTCAGATCCAAGAGCAAGCCAGAAAATAGAGATAAGGGTCTCCACCAAGAACAGAAACTGTGTTTTTCTTGTTCCCAGTTCTTTAGCTTGTCAAGGGTTGAAATTATTCACCCACCTTCCCACCAGTCCTTCACTTCCAACTTCAATTAACAAATTCATTCTGGCCCTTTCTTTCAGTGCTTAATGCCCTCCCCTCCCCTTGAAAATGAGAGCACTGGTGAATAATTTGCAGTGTCTAGAGTGCTTCTTTAAACACATTAAATTTAATATAAAATTCAATTGAAGATCAAGGCAGATTCCTCAAAATACAAAAGCCAAAGTTATTTTGACTGTTCATTGCTGTTTTCTAAAAGGTGGTGGTCAACACAAAAATTTGGAACAAACCATATAAGAGAACAGAAGCAGTCTTGTACAAAGGCAAAATCCTACAAATGAAGTAATCTTTTGGATACGAACAGGCAACCCCCAAAAAAATAGTTAAGGTATGCAATTTACAAAGACATTATTTTATTCTTTGTGAATGCAATTTTAAATTGAAAAGGTCAGACAAGTAAAATTCCACATAAGTGATTCATGTACCAAATACACAATAAACAGAGAATAACCAAACTTTATTCTATGAATGAAACATCTGGGCCCTGAATATCTGTAAACAGTTTGAAACCAAAGCTGAAATTTGAAGACATTATCCAAAGTTGCTGGAGTGTAAATCGAAATTGCAAAGAATCCTACAGCTCACTGCATGTTTGTGAAGCATTTCTAATCTCATACAAAACTGAAAATGTTCAGAAGAATTTAAGTGAAGCAACATTTCTAACACGTTTGACATTCATTTTCCAGGAAGATTAAACCAATATGTAACTTACATTCAGGCTCTATAGGTCAATGAGTGCACATAAATGAGCTGATTTGGGAATGTATTACACCTACTCTCCACTCTCACTCCTTCCTGTATATGTATATACACAGGGAGTCCAAGGATTAAGCCACCACAATACTTATTGTAGTAAAAATATTTTGGTATTAAATATAATATTTCATACTACATTTGAAAGCAATAATGTTTATTCTGGCTTAAATTATTCCTGTTTGTTTTGTTTAAAAGCTGAAGAGTCACTTTCAAAGCAAACTTTAGAACCAAGAATTCATTCAGAATCTAGAATTCCCATTCAGAAGCAATGACAAAAATAAATCAATATTTTTAATGACTTATGATTTCCAAGTGAATCAAGAAGTAAAGTTAGAGGTGTGTTTACTTTCCCATAAACTTTAGCATATACAAAAATAAAGTGCACAGCTCCAGCTAAAGTGGTTTTGAGGACACTTAGGTGACAAGAGGTCTGCTGAAATGGCTCTTTCAAGATATATTTTCTGCTGCAAAGATGAGTTCCACCTAAATGTACTCTTCTTCTGTAATATAAACAACCACATCTGTAATATGAACACATTTAAATGGAAAATATGGGCCTAGAATTATGGACCCATATTGCAGATTGAGAGTATCTGTAGTAAATTCAATCAATGTGGGTTCACATTCCTGTATTTGAGAGCAAATTAGTTGTTACCAACCTACTCACTGAATATTTGATTGAAATGTTAGAAATTACATTAAAACATTATGAGCCATGATGGCATTTTCTTAATAGCTCCTTCAGTTCACAGTGCATGTGTGGAAAATTTCTTTAAATGAGATTTTAAATTTATCTATTATGGGATAAACCCTACTTCATCTGGAAACTGATATCTCTGGGGTTAGCTGAAGCTGACAGAAATACAGTACAGAATTTGATGCATTTTATCAGGGACTGCCATGCTATCAGAATGATAACAACAGGATTTTAATTTGAATTAGTTTTCTATGAAATTTATTAATTCATTTTTTATACTAAGAAATCCATGGCTCACACATGTATTTCTGCTTAGGGAGAAAAGTGTTAATGTCCATCACTAATACAATATTTTTATAGCTTTACAGTACCATACATTTCAACAATCTTGGAAACTTAAGAAGCTGTCTCAAAGTAAGAAAAAAAAGCAGAATTCCTCTCTGTGCTTACTAGGACATCTGATCCAACACTTTCCTTTGAATAGCTGCTCATGACAGAGGTCACTGTATGTTTTGTAAGGTTTTAAAATTCAGTCAAGATAGAGCTGATTATATGGAGAGCTCACAAGAAAGACATTAAGGCAGAGACTTTTTAACTCATACAATCGAGGGAGAAAAAAGTAGCCACCACTGTCTCACTGCCTGAAGCAGGACAGATTTCTCTTGTACAGAAAATGTGGAAGGCAATCACAGCTTCACAATTTCCTGGTGCTTTCCATCCAAACACCACATAACACTAAAGAAACATTAATGAATTAAGCTGCTTAATATATCTACAAAGTACAGTAAGGAAGGACTGGGGGGGGCGGGGTTTGGCAGATATCCTAGAAACCTGAAGTTGCTGATCATAAAATGATCCAAAGCAATGTTTGGAAGCCATGAAGAAAAAATTACATCTTTTTTCATAATCTACAGAGTTCATTGTGAAAAGTTAAGGAAAAAATCATTACCAAGGTATTGCTGGTTGAGTAATTTTCAATAGATGTGGTTTTTCAATGAAAGGAAACAGAAAGAATGAAGAAGAATGCTCATGAAAAAAAGTTGATTTCAAAATCACATCTGTTATTTAGGTTATCATCCATTTCTCAACTTCCAGAGCTCCTAAGAGTCCCATTTAAGTTTTAAAAATACAGGACTAGTTAGCAAGCCAGAAAAATTAAAATTCAAGTTACAATTAATTAAACTCTTCAGATTATTTAGTAAAGGTGTGAACAACTTTTCACAAAAACAGTAGCTTGAATGTTAAAAACATGTCTGGACATTAGCACTTCCAGTTCTTGTAAGGCTTGGAAAGGAGAGAAAATTAACACTGTGTAATGATTTTAAATCATAGGTGGAAAATCTTACATTATGAAAAAAAACCACAAACACTACCAAAGATTTTTCTAGAATTCTATGGATTTCTTTAGGAAATATCAGTCAATGTAAATAAAGAGCTTTCTGTTAGTGTGTACCTTCTGATGGAACACATCTTTATACAGCCTAAGAATGTATTCTAGCATCATTTCAAGCCAGTATTTGAACTTTTTTTAATTTTTTCTCTCAGTTACATAATTCTATTAAAATATAACAACAGTTAAGAGGTGGACTCAGACTGTAACACTCCTTTCACTTCAAAGTAGATACTTGCAGCTTTTAGGATTACTTTTCTCCTAATACAAATTAGGTTAAAACATTTATTAAAAAACCTACAAAATGTCCTAACTATAGAAAAATATCAGTGATAAAACATCAGAAGCATTTAACATCAGAACAACAAATTCTTGGCTTCATTACCTTAATTTAACTATATTAAACAAAACATTTGATTAGATGGCAATGATAAGGTCTTGTGTCTTGGCAGGAGAATAAAATTAAAAATTACTTTTGCAAACCACAGTAACAAGTTTTCTTATTCTGTCCCTTTGCTCTGACAAACCCCATGTTCATGGGTTTAGAATAAATAAGTCATAAATAAAAATAGGACTAAACCAAAATAAAATTGTACATGTGTTTTCTTACTGTGTACCTATCATCTCCATTATTGTTCAAAGGTTTTTGGCTCCCATTTATACAAAGCTCTCTTCCATATTTGTGCATAGCAGAAAAGAATCCACGAGTCTGGGCTTTACCAGCTGCTGAAAATCTGAATCCTCCAGCCCATCAGGACTCATTACTGCCAGTCTCCTCAGGGCTGCCTAGAAAAACAAAACAACATTGCAATGCAGTCAGGTTTGGCAGAGCCTCTTGCAGGAATCCATTATAACCACACCTAAATGACAGTCAGAACTCAAAACTGAACTCTGCAGGTCTATGGGTTCTGCTACCTGGGTAATCTCTCCTCACTGTCTTCATCTGTCAGATGAATCTTCCCTCATGCAAAGTTATTTAATGACAATTATTTTGGGGTACTTTACTTTTAAACCTGAACAGCAGGTCTGAGTACAAACCCTCAGACACCAGTGACAATACCTATCAGAGCTTGAAGCTTATGTCTCAAGGACAAGATTTTTTGCCACATTTTTATCAGAAAACATCTTCAGGCAATTACTAAATATCAGGAGGAGGAGGATTTCTGAGACAGGGAGGTAGGTAATGTCTCAAGCAGTAGGCATGGATTCAAGGAATGTGCAGCAACAACTTCAGTGAGACAGAAAAATCATAGTCTGGTTTGCTGCCATCGCTCTGTGGTCTCTGCTCTAACCACACAAGATTAACAAGCCTTCTTGGCATGTAGGAAGAATAATCACAGCATTTTCTATGCTCACATTTATACTTTCTTCATCCTGAATGGGACCAGCTTAAACGAACAAGCTGCAATAACCAAGTATTCCTTTTAGATTTAAAATAACATTAATATCATAAAGCAGTATCAAACGATATTCTTCAGTCTTCATTCACCAGAGCTTGTGCCCCAACCCTAGATCACCCATGTCCCCAGAGGCCTCTCACAGAATGCTCAGTGAAATCATTCAGCTCTGGCATTTGGCTCGCAGTTCATGCAGTGCAGGGCCAGCAGATGGGATCTTTCTCCTGAGCAGAGACAGTCTTAAGCCTCTGGTGCCCACTGCTTGCTGGGCACTGTATTGTCTTGGCGACACAAATAGAACAAAAAATTGGATTGGAGTGGAAGTAAGAAATACCTTTTTCTCTTTTTGGATGCTTTACATAAATATTTTCATATATATGCACGAGTGCAGATAAAGGGCTGCTACCCCCATGACTCAAGGCTAATTTCAACATAGAACCATCACAGAATGGAATTTAGGAATTAATGAATCCTTAAATTCCAAAGTGTTCCAAGGAATTTTTTTTTTGGCGCCCAGCAATGTGAAGATGAAGCCATTTTTCCTTATGTGCTTATGTCTTCAATCTGAGGATGAATAATTGACAGTGTACAGGATTATGCTTAAGGGGAAGAGCAGGAGACCCTGACGTGAATTTAAAACATTTCTGCAATACTTATGAATTTTGAAATATAAAGGGATGTTTTTTCCTTAATTTCCCAGTATAAGCGTGAAAGGAAGACTAAAATGTACATACCAGACATGCCACTAAAACAGAATCGCTGTTATTTCTTTCTGTTGGTGATCTGCAAAGTTTAATCAGGCGAGGAATACCTGAGAGCAACAAAAGAGTGTCAGGAGAAATAATTTAGAAAAACAACTTCTTATTTTGTGATTTTTTAGATGCATCATATTTATCTCTTTTTTTAGTAGATATGATCTCTAATGCAAAGATGATATGCAAGTACTTAAAGAACTTTCCATGGAGCTATGCAGTTCAGAGCAGTCATAATTAATAGTTGTAAAGTATAAACAAATAAACTGGGCTTACTTGCTGCTGAAATTTCAGAGTGGAAATTGTGACCTCCATTTCCTCCCTACCAATCCTCCCGCACAACCTTAAAAAACTCCTACCCAAAGAACATGTTCCCTCCCATTGGATTCATCACATCTGAACCTGCTGGGGTCCCAGTTTTCTGTGCCCTGACAGATCCTGCATAAAGGAATGAGGAGGCAGCAGTGTCAGTTGGCACAGCAAGGCACAGCTATGTCTTGAGTGGATGCTGCACCTCAGGCTCCTCTGGGAAACAAGCCAGAGGTTCATTTAGCTCCATCTCCTCCGTCATCCACTGGACAGACTCTGTAGGGAGTATCTCTCAAAGTCCACAAAGTGAGGCTAAAAATTAAAAAGAGCTTCTCCATGACTGGCAGTTGCTCCCTCTTTCAGTGCCGTTAAGCAGGTAACACATCCTTACAGCTGAGTTTTACGGCTGCCTCTGCCACCTCGGGATCTCGGCTGAGCCGTGCCAGGGTAACCGCAGATTTCTGCTGGACTCGCTCACAAGCTGCAGCTTCTGCTGGATTTCCAGAGGAGGATTTCTCAAAGAGCATCTCCATTAAAAGTTGAACACCTGAAAGAATACAAGAGACATCATTATTCGCTCTCCAACAAAAATCTCAGTGCAAAAAAGGGGAAAGGAAAGCTGGGTTAATACAAAAAGGGAGAATGGAGAATACATAAATGAAGGCTGCAATTTTGACTTCAGCACCCAGGCACATCTGATCTATGCATAAGTTTGTCTTCAGTAGAAAGCTACAGAACTTCTGGAACTAGAAAATGCACTAACTCTTCCCTCCTCTAAAAGTTGGTATTTTAAATTTCACTAATTTTTTACAGTCAACCAAATGTAATTCCTTATTTGGTTCTAAATTAACCTGAAGACAATCACTAACTGAAAAGCCTGTAGTGACATATTTTAGGTCTCTAAATGAAGTGTCACTCTCAATTCAAGTAATTCTTTGTGTGTTTGTTTACATTTTTTTAAACAAGCCTTTAAAAGTTTCCTTCTCAAACTGTTTAAGGGTATTTTAGAATGAGGAATCCTTTAATGAAGGAAATGATGAAATTCTGTTTCTTGAACTTTACTGTATAACCCTTCATTCCAGAAGAGACAATGTTATCCCTGTCGAAGTGGTTTCATTAACTTATTGTTGCCTGTAGGAGTTGATATTCTTCTTGTAGCACCACAAAAAAAGATGATTTCTCTTTTCTAGATTATTTTAAGTGTAAAGACAATTATGTGCTATTAGACTCCATATGCTATTAGGCATTCAGATTACATCAGGTAGCATCAGAGGATTTTAACTATTAGAACATTTGCATAAATAATTCAGAGAATTATCATCAGAACCATGCAGCTAGATAATAATCAATCAACATACAAGAAAGTCAGAGTTGAGAAGAAAGTACCTAAATTCTCCAGCATTCAAAGACCATTCCCAGAATGTGGCCTCTGACTAGAACCTGTTTATTATAACATGAGGCAGACACAAAAAAGATTTTACACACAGGATGAGTGCCAACCCCTCTCAAAAGCCATGGGGAAAATGCTTCTTGTGAAATTCCGTGGCGGGGTGTATACACAAATTTTACTTGACCTAGCAAAGCAATATATGTGAATTTTCACTGTAATTTAATGTTTCCCACAAAAAAAAAAAAAAAAAAAGGCACCCATCTTATTTGATTTGCTTTGAATTTTCTGGTAGGTGTATTAATAAGGCATTTACATCTTACAACAGTATTACCTGTATTGCCACAACACACACAACACAGGTTGCTGAAACACATTTTACTACTTTGCTTTGCATCTAGGAGCAACAGCAAAGTTTCAAAGTAACAAATGCAAAGTTTCCTAAAACAGTGGCATTCTGTTATGTGGAACCATCATAACCCATTTTGCACCCTGCAGCAATGTGCAATATGCAGCAGAGACAGGATGAAAAATGAAGCTTTATTAGTGAAGCCTTTCTCCTCTACCTTGTAAGTACTACATTCCCATCTACTCAGACTCATCAGAAACAAATAAAAAATATAGTTCAGCTAAAATACATACCATTTCCTTGAATGATTTCTGAAGCACACTGATCCAACACAGACATGTTTGCCAATATCGTTACCACCTGTTGTTAAAAATAGAAGGAAATATGAAGTCCAGTCCTACAGTTCAGTAATGTTAAATATCATTGTGGTTCATACAATAAATATGGCAGAAGTATGGCAAATATTTGAGAGTGCTGATGTTGCACTGAATCTGTTCAGGTGAAATGCTAAGAAATCCTTGCAAGAGATTTGGAGCTTTGATTCAAGGGAATATTTAAGGAATGTTTCTCAGTTTTGTTGAAGTCAAGAATTGTGTGCATGACAAGATGCTGTCACAAAAGTAACTGGACTTAAAATTCTATTTATAACTTTCCAGAGGTAAAGACCATGGTTAGGCTTTGTACCAACACATTCTGTGATGGTATGTGCTCAAGCACATACTGAGATCTTGATTTACAGCATTTCTTATCCCAAATACCTTTAACTGTTTTTGAGATTAGGTGTTACTCAACTTGCTTAAAGTGATGCAGCAAGCCACTAACAGAGTGGCTGAACGCTGTGGTGCTGTTGGCTTTCAGTCAGCCATTCCCTCATTGATATCAGATACTTTCTCACACATCCTGCAAGGCATTCTTCTCAGTCCTTCAAATACTTTGCTTTTTGCATGCAGACACATCCCAATATTAACAGCATATGTGAGAGACCAAATAATAAATGCTAGAGATCATCAGAATGCAAAACAGAAATAATATTCTTTTTTAAGAGGTTTTAAATTTTCTCTAATCTAATTCAGGAAAACTGACCAGCCTCAAAAATAATGGTCAGTTTTGGAACTGGTTATCAGCTTTTTAACAGTACAGTGTCACTTCAGAAAGCAGCAAACTTCTTAGATGTAAGGAGGCATGAGATCAAATCACCATTCTGATCTCACTTTGCCATTTCAAAAACAAGGATGACTCATTTCCGATGCTGTGACATAAAGGTCTTCCACTTTTGAAGGTGGTGTTACAGTGTCATCTCCCTGAATAAATATACTTACTTAGCATGCAAATGAGTTGCTGAAACTCTGCACAGTGACAGGTAGAAATATGGTAACTCAGTGTATGTCTATGTATTTATTCCATATTAATTATTAACTGTGTTGCAGGCAGAGTGTATATGTTTTCCTCATTCTAAATTATATCCCGTTAATGAAAATTGCTTCCTCTGTGCAGAATCTGTACCCCATGTGGCTCTCTAAGCCACAGATGAAGAATTCAATTAACCACAATTTGAATACATGCCAATTATTCCACTGCTTCAAGTTATTTTGTCTAATAAGTATTTTCATACATAAAAATAGTTTGTGTGCATCTTTTGACACCAAAAAATTATTTGAGGTTATAGCTATACTTCCTTCAAGTTGATTATGTGGCCCCCATATTTTGCAATATTTATGGACTAGCTTAGAGGGTTTGTATGTAACATTCTCCAGAGGGGTGTAAAAAAGACCCTTATGATTAATGACCATCAAGTTCTACCTATATTGTCTTCTAAAATCTCAGTAGGACTCAAAAGGTAGTTAAGCCATAGATCAGCTCACTCCATATGGATAGACTTTTTTTCCCCAAGAAAATTCTTTTCCTGCGAGGCAAACAATGTAATAAAATAGGATAATGTATAAATGTAATAGGCAAGCCGAACAAAGAGTTGACTTTAAATGCTCCATTTCCCCTAAACTTTCCTATTTTAAAGTTCATGCAACTTACATGAAAATTTCCTCTGTAATACAAACCAAAGTTCAAGGAAGTCTCCTATTAAGGATGAACTTTCTAGAGGAAGACACAAACAAATGTAGACTATATTTTCTTCAGAAAGTAACACTTTATCTTTGCCTTTCTTCCCATTGTCTAGCTCCAAATTTCATAAAGCCTTAGGCAGTTGCAAAAATAACTACAAAGTCCTGTTGAATCAGCAAACCAGTTCAGATGCTATTGTGAGACATGGAGCACACAAACAGATACAGATAAAAGTGACTGCCTAAGCCTCATTTAATACTTGAAAATTACTGGAAAAGAATACATACCAAAACCTCTTTCAGAACTGAAATGACTTTGAAATAATTAAAAGGCTTAAAGATATTTAATGTGGAATATCTACTATTCAACTGCAATGTTTAGTATCAATTTCATTAATTGCTCAAGTAATTGATCCTGTTAAAGAGCACGCTCCACGATTACGAAGCACTGGCACCTGAAAAAATTTATGATTCTTGAAATTCTTTTGGATTCCTAAGCCATGCAATGAACTTGCGGTCAACTCAAAGTGTAAGAAAGAAGACATCCTGAAGACAGGATGCATGAGCTCTGGTCATCTGTCATTGCCTTCCTACCATGGAGAAGGAATGTGCTGAAGCCGCATGCCAATTCTTGACCTGTGGGATTTGTAGATGTGCTATGAAGCAAATTTTGTCAGGGAATCCAGCATAATTCCCTACCCCAGCACCTGTATCTCTGCTAAGCAGAGCTGCTTTGGAGGTGAATCTTGACCCATGCATTTCCAATATCTGTGTTTTAGCAGTGCTCTCAAAAGACTGACACAGACTGACTTGTCACTGTCACATTTTCTGGAAAAATTCCTTTGCCAGGATTTCTTCTCCTGGGAAGCTGAGAAGCCTCAGAGAAAAAAAGGAAAACAATATTATCTCATTTGCTTCTCCTGTGTTTTGCTGCTTTGGAATGTGGTTTGGACATTGCTTACCAACAGGTGGCTGTTTCATTGGTTTCATGTGAATTGTTTTGACTTATTGGCCAATCATGGCCTAGCTGTGTTGGACTCTGGAGAGAGTCACAAGTTTTTCTTTAGTATCTTTTAGCCTTCTCTCTGTATCCTTTCTGTATTCTTTAGTATAGTTTAGTATAGCATTATTTAATATAATATAGATGATAAAATAATAAATTAGCCTTCTAAGAACATGGAGTCAGATTCATCTTTCCTTCTCTTCTCTAGAAGTCCCGCAAATACAAGACTGGCCCACACTCCTTTCTCTGATCTCCAAATCCATCAAGAATTGCAGCTGCCTCTCTCTGCTAAACCTGGTGTCTGCAGTTTGTGAACTGGCAGCCCTAAATCCACTGTACTAATGTAGACCACAGAAAAATAGTCTTCTCTAGAAATCCCGCAAATACAAGACTGGCCCACACTCCTTTCTCTGATCTCCAAATCCATCAAGAATTGCAGCTGCCTCTCTCTGCTAAACCTGGTGTCTGCAGTTTGTGAACTGGCAGCCCTAAATCCACTGTACTAATGTAGACCACAGAAAAATAGACTTGATCAACAAATAATCAGCACAGAAACATATAACAGCTTGGGTTGGAAGGGACTTTAAATCTCATCTAATTCCCTGTCATAGGTAGAGACAATTCCCACTTGACCAGGTTGCTCAGAGCCCCATCCAGCCTGGCACTGGACACTGCCAGGGATGAGACATCCTCAGCTTTTCTGGCAACCTGTGCCAGTGCCTCACCACCCTCACAGCAAAGAATTTCTCCCTAACATCTAATCTAAACCTACTCTTGTTCAGTTTGAAGCCATTCCCCTTGTCCTGGTTCTACATGCCCTTGTAAGAAGTCCTTCTCCACCTTCCCTGTTGGCTCCCTCAGGTCCTGGAGGCCCTATGACACTTGTTTGCCATCAGAAGGGAGCTGGATGGATGATTCAGGTCAGTGTCACGAGTAGCACTGCTAAAAACAACCAGAGGAACAGACCTCCAGGGCTCCTCCTGTGCTCAACACCTGCCTGCTTCCCTGTGCTCTGCACACCTGACCCCCGGGGCACTGAGACACCGGGCAAGGCAGAACGTCAGCACAGGAATTCTCAGGCCAGCTCATGTTTTAGCACCTTCTGAAGGGGCACAAACTTAGCAAAATAGCAACATGCAGAGATTTCACAGAGAGTAGTAAGATTTTTCACAAGACTCAGAGATGAAGCAGTTAAAACTGGACTTAAAAACGTAAAAGTTTTAAGTTAAAATTGAACTTAAAAACTTCAGAACTTAAAAAAGCACACCCAAAATCAAGAAGCTTTGAAGGTTCATCTTTAAAAGTTTTGTTGGTGAACTGAGTACACAGGGATATTTGAGAGGCCCCTTAAGACCCATGGAAAATTTCCCTGTTTATGAAATGAAATTAAAAAATAACAGTATTATTTCATATTTTTCAAATGTCAATACAGCATCATCTTCTTAGTCTTGCAGTTACCATGGAAATTAATCTGAAATCTAATCCAAAATCTTCATTTTTATAAGCAAAATAATGAAACTGATATTAGACACAGATACATCTCTAGTGACAATATATTATTATAAAATTGGCAGTGTTGATCTTTTTTGGTTATTCTATATATATTTCAAAATTTAAAATTTGTTTCGATTCCCACACAGTTTCCTTCCACTCCCTCAGACTTTCACACATATTGAATTTATGAGTGGTGAACCTTCCATTTAAGTTCTGTAGTCTGCTTTGCCCTGAACTTTAGAAATTTCAATTGTCAAGAGCAATTTAAATTTGAGAAACCATGGTTGATTAAGAATCTTGAAAATTGTTTTCTTCAAATAACAGTCACTTTGGAATTTTTTTTTCTAAAATATGTAATTACTAACGCTATAATAAAACTTTTCTAAATAACTACTGGTGACTAATGCTCATCTACCAGTGTTCAAAGGTACTGAATCTTTGCTGCAAAACTAAAAACTAGGTACAAACGCTTTACACTGAAATTGTAAACCTGCATTTATCAAAGAGATTTAAACTTAAAGAACACTTAAGAAACAGAAGGCTTCTCTGAAAACTTTCCCTTAGTGAGAGATTTAAGAAAGTTTTTGTCTTTAATTGTGAAACCAATTACTAAGGAAGAAAGATGCCAAAGGATTTGGAGGATGAAAGCACACATTTTAGCCTGCTAAAGGGCCAATATCTTCCACAACTGAGGATCCTTACCTCATTTGTGGGAGGGGGAAGTGTCTACAGATGTGGAAGGTGTGGTGCTAATATACCTTTATTGACCTTTATTGATAATAAAGGCACACTGCTCAGTAGGCTTT